TATCATACAATACAATTGGTAACAACCATCCAAACAAGATGTTAGATACCATTTATATTAAGTTGTTTTCTGTGATTGGACCGTTTTAATTTAGTTGCACGCAAGCTTCCAAAAGAGGAAAGTAGATAATCAATTCAGTCTGTGCAACAGCAATTCAACCAATCAATAAAGAAATCACATGCCTTTGTCACGTAGTAGGTTGACGATTTAAATCCTAGTATACATTTTTTTTTCTTTTGGTATTTTTCTTTTAATCTGTACTAATGGATATTCAATGTATTTTCAATATACATTAAAATGAGGCAAACGATAAATTATAGATAAGTTTAATTTCTATGTACGGATAATATTTACTTTTAAGTTATTTATAAGGTAATTATATATAAATTTTTATAATATATATTAGACTTATAACCCAATAAAAATAGGTAACTAACTTAGTTAACACGTTAAATTTCTATCAAGTTTATAGCGGTAGCAAAAATTATTTAGATTAAATGCAAAAACTACAAACGAGGAATAGTAAGGTGAAATAGTACTACAATTATTACGTCACAATCTCAAGTAAGTTGAGGTGAGATATATGAATTTTCACTTTTTACCTCACTTTATTTGAATTTATTTCATTTAATACAATATAAAATAACTTCTCTAGTACTAGAAGTTCTCTACATATATATTCTACTAGTATATTTTTCCTTAATTAGGCCAAAAACTCCAACTGACCATTGGAACTAAAAACGTATTTAACATGATTAAGAATAATCTATATTGCATGCATAGATCGTTTTATTTCATGTCATATTTTCAATAGATTTCCAAAAGATTGTAGGTCTAAGCATAGGCGGACCTACCCTTAGGATAATGCACATCACCTGTCCTTGGTAATTTCAGAAAAAATATGTGCCAATCAATATATATAAGACTCAAAGCTTAGGTAAAAATTGCGGGTGCCCTATTTGGTCGCCCCCATTTAACCTATACCCATTTTTTTAAGAACCTTTAACTTGTACTTGCTTTTTAAATAACGTCAGCCCTCTTTCTTCTCCTCCTTTGTTTTCTTCTTCAAGTTACAAAACAAATTGGTATTTATCTCCAAAAGCAATGCTGCTTTAGTTATAAGGTCAATTTTTTTTTAATTGAACAGTTCGGCAGTTATACTTCTGCTCCAAATTTACAGTAAATTAGTCTTAGGAAAAAGTTTAAGTTACCAGTTGGGTTTGTTTTGGATTGCTCACCGTTGGAAAGCGTTTTTGTAAGGCCAATTGTTTGTGTGTCCTTTGGAAATATATATATTTCTTGGTATGATTTTTGTGCAGTATATATTCATACGTCCCTCTACTTATTTTTGTTTGTTTGGGCACCGTTATTCCTTCTTTTGTCTCAGAGGACATATATCGAGTGGCTTTCTTAAAAACATAACTTGCTCATTCTAGTCCACTTCAGCTAACAGCCACTAGGTACAACTAAGGCAAAACAGCAAAAATACAGCTAGAAAATTATAATTGACAAATACAGCAAATTAACAAAAACTTCAGCTTTAGAACTGAAGTTCGCCAGTTACAAAGACAAAAACTTCAGCTCTAGAGCTGAAGTTCCAAGTTACAACATAAAAAACTAAGTTTCCCAGTTACAACACAAAAACTTCAGCTCTAGAGCTGAAGTTCCAAGTTACAACATAAAAAACTAAGTTTCCCAGTTACAACACAAAAACTTCAGCTTTCTAGTTACAACATAAAAACTTCAACTCTAGAGCTGAAGTTCGCTAGTTACAAAACAAAAACTTCAGCTCTAGAGCTGAAGTTCGCTAGTTACAAAACAAAAACTTCAGCTCTAGAGCTGAACTTCAGGCCCGACTACTAGAATGCTGAAGTTTTGCGTAATTGCCTTTGCTACTTCAGCGCCGTGTGCTGAAGTTATGCGAAAAAGCGGGTACGTTTGCAATTTTTTTTGTAAAGCGGGCACAAGTTAAAATGTGACACAAAAAGCGGGTATAGATGCAAATGCCCCAAAACTTAGTTAGCAGCATTCTTTAATTTGGGGCACTTGAGCTTTTAGTACACTATCTGGGTTCGATTCTCACTATAGCATTTGCTCAAATTTTTATTCGATAGTGTTGCGCCCGTCACTTTAAGACAACTTCTTTTAATATGATTTTAGAACTCATCCTCTTTTAAAATCTTCAATCACTATGGTCTCATCCAGAGGCGAAGTCAGAATTTCAAGCTTATGGATTCGGGATTTTAATCGCTTTAAGTTACTAAATTCTAGATTAATAATTTGTATATATTTAATGAAATTTTAAGACAAATACAAAGCTCGAACTAAAATTATTGGATTTAGCCGAACCTGCTCTCGGCACTCTCACCCGTATGGATCGGTGCATAAGGTGAAATGGTGGACTAGAAAAATTCAAAAACCTTAGTTAAATGTTCCTAAAAGGTGGGAAAGAATTTTAAACCTTATGCATAGTGCGCTCCAACGTTCCTATGGACTTTAGGATACTCGTGAATGAGCCTAAAAAACGGTCATATTTACATGTGAAGTCACTTAAATTTCACCCTCCCACTCACACCTGAGAAAAAACTACTGGACTATTTTAACCACAAATTACAGTTCCTACTCAAAACTTTCTATAAATAAGTGAAACAATTGTTCAGAAATTCAGACCAAATCATTCTCTCTTCAGATTTTTCCAATATATTTTTCATCATTGTACCTTGTTGTCTAAGTCATAAAGCCCATCCTTCCTTTTCAAATCTTTTAAGCTACTCCTATATTTTATTACTATAACAGTCATATAATATACTCTAGTTGCATATAGTACTATTTTCCTTCAAAGCTATTTCCCATTATATCTTTGTCCAACTTTCCAAACAGATCAACACCCACATCACATAATGCAGTTTCTGATGTTGGTTTTCAAGATTTTGTTCATTCTTACATTCTTTCACCTCTTTTCAACTTCATTGTCCTTAGCCCAAGAACCACAACCCGCGCCTGCAGTGTCAGAGTCAGCTTGCGCAGAGGCCGATAGGCGAGCTCTTCTTGGATTCAAAGACAAGATATTGAAAGACACTACTGATATTCTGTCTTCTTGGACAGGTACTGATTGTTGTGGGGGTGGTTGGGAAGGTATAGAGTGTGATCCTGTTACGAGACGAGTGAATAGGTTGATTTTGCAAAGACCTTCTGAGAGGGATACTAGCATTTATATGAAGGGAATTTTATCACCAACACTTGGTGATTTGCATTTCTTGGAAACAATGATAATTAGTGGGATGAAACACATCGCAGGTAAAATCCCAGAGAGCTTTTCAAATCTCACAAAATTGCAGCAGCTTATCTTAGATGATAATTCTCTACAAGGGTATATTCCTACTAGTTTAGGTCATTTGTCCTCACTTCAGACACTCTCACTAGGTGAGAATCATTTGTCAGGACAAATTCCTTCTACTATAGGAAATTTCAAGAATCTGCAGCAGCTGAATTTGGCTGGAAATTTGCTGACTGGTCCTATACCAATTGCCTTCAAAAATCTTGCTAAGTTACAGTCTATGGATGTTAGTCACAATTTGTTATCTGGGGTGATTCCGGATTTTCTAGGACAGCTTCAGAATTTGACATATCTTGACCTTTCCAGTAACCAATTGTCAGGGCAAATTCCAATTTCCTTATGCAATTTGCTCAAGCTTTCGTTTTTATCGCTTGATCATAATCGGATGACAGGAAGAATTCCTAGCCAAATTGGGAGGTTAAAGGCACTCACTTCTCTGTCATTGAGTTTTAACAAGTTGACAGGCCAAATTCCTGAGTCTATTGCAGGATTACCAAATCTTTGGAACCTTAGTTTATCCAGAAATTCCCTCTTAGATCCTTTGCCTATTGCCTTTTCCAATGGCCTCCATTCTCTTCTGTCAATAGACTTGTCTTACAACAATTTAAATCTGGGAACAGTGCCTGATTGGATAAGAAATAGAGAACTTTCTGATGTTAACTTAGCAGGCTGTAAGCTTCGTGGGAGGCTTCCGAATTTTACAAGGCCCGATTCGCTGAACTCAATAGACCTATCGGATAACTTCTTCTGTGATGGGATATCGAATTTCTTTGCAAGAATGTCAAGCTTGCAAAAGGCAAAGATATCAAACAACCAATTAAAATCTGATGTTGCTTTGATCAAATTGCCTGATGGAATTTCATCTCTTGATCTGCATTCAAACCAGCTTTTCGGGTCTTTTTCAAAGATGTTAAGCAACAAGACGAGCAAATTTTTGGAGGTGATCGATGTCTCAAACAACCAACTTTCTGGAAACATCCCAGAATTCAGTAATGGCTTAAACCTGAAAGTGCTCAACCTTGGCAGTAACAAGATTGCAGGTCAAATCCCCACTTCAATCTCAAATCTGGATAAGCTTGAGAGGTTAGATATATCAAGAAATCAAATTGCTGGTACAATCCCTATAGGTCTAGGATCATTGCTGAAGTTGCAATGGTTAGACTTGTCAATTAACAAGATTTCAGGCAAGATACCAGATAGCTTGTTGGGGATTGAAGAATTGAGACATGCAAACTTCAGGGCAAACAGATTATGTGGAGAAATCCCACAAGGCAGACCATACAACATATTTCCTGCAGCTGCTTATGCCCACAATCTATGCCTGTGTGCCAAGCCTTTGCCACCTTGTAAGGGAAAGAAACAAGACAAGTTGGGCCAGTAAATGCTGACCCAATCATAGGAATTTATGCTTGCAATAACCAAACACATTTTTTTTTGAATTCTAGTACTACTTGTACAACTTTGTCTTACTTTGTTAGTCAATGTTCCTAGAGATAAATTTGACATGAATTGGAAATTTTCATTTTCAAGTTCTCTGCTGATGTCTTGCAATCACCTTATACACAAATCAATTATCAATTGGTAAACACAAATCCCCTCAAAAGAAAGGGGGAGAGGGGGTGTGGAGGGGAGAAAATTTGACATAAGAGATGGCAACTAAGAATCATCAGAAAATAGACATAAGATTTAATTCCAAAAAGGCTTGAAAGCAAGAACTTAAACATAAGCTTCCATATATTACTTCTAATAAACCTAAGTTGACAATGATCAAAATTTACATAAGTTCAAGACTAGTCATTTCAAAAAGCTGAAAAATAGCTACAAATTTCAAACACCAAAAGCTCTATTCCTCATCTACTTCTACCTCTTCCTTCACTTCCTTCTCAGGCAACTCAACTTCATCCTGAAATTATTAATTTAGATGTAAGAATAGGGAAAGTACACAACAATTTAAAAACTTTAGACTACAATTTACAACAATAACAAAGAGAACAAGAACCCACATTGGCATTCTCAGCATCAGTGTTGGACTGTTGCAAGGCCTTTTCATATGCTGCTTTGAGCTCTGCTGCCTTATCCTGATAAGGCTTTTTCTCCTGATGAAACCATTTGAACCACACAGAGTAAGAATCACATTGGACACAATTACAACAAACTAGTAGAAACCATTTTACACATGCCACTCACCTCATCAGTCAGTGACTTCCATTTCTCACCTCCTTCCTTAGCAACCTAAATGGTTCAAAAGTACAGACAGATTAGCACTAAATGGAGCCAAAAGGCATTAATATCAGGAAGAGCTCAATTCAACATTACCATGGAGACACTTTTGCAATCAGGATTTGCAGCCTTAAATGTCTGCCTAAACTCATCCCTGCAAGTATGTTTGTTTCATGTCAGAGCATTGTATATAACTTATCAAACATACAACAGATTTATATATAAATGCAAACTCATACACAAAGGTAGAGAGATTACATGAACACAAAGAAAGCAGTGGGAGGGCGTTTGGGGGCATTTGGATTCTTTGCTTTCTTTTCCCTCTTAGCTTTTGGTTCTGTCGATTTCTCCTTACCCCTGTGCAAAATCACATAGTACCATGTTACAAATTGTAAGAATACTGTCAAACATTAAAAGATCAAGCACAGAATGAAAATGGCAAATAATATCCAAGGATCTAGGAAATTACTTTGCTGCTGGCTTCTTTGTTTCACTTGCATTTTCCACAACCTGAGCCTCTGTGTACAAACAACAAATCAGTCCATTAACAAAGTCCAATAAAATGCCTAATACAATTAATTCCAAGTGAATAAAGAGTGTAAATTACCCAAATTCATTTTGATTTTTGCATCAAGGCTACAACTGTGGAAATTAATCAATGCTATGGGTACATCTTTGTTACACTCTTCACTGCAATAATGAAAGGAAGAGAAAACCCAATTCATGTCAGTATTATCTTTCACTGAATTTCCCAACCACAAATACATTTACTTTTTGCATGGGTTAAAAAATTTTAAAAAAAAATCACCACTTTCAACTTGAAATATATATATATATATATATATGTATATATATATACACACACACACACACACACACTTAACTCTTACAAATAAGAATATAATGATGTTTATACTAATTCCAAGTTTATAAACAACGAAGAACATGCTAAATGACTCAAAACACACACTATCTCCAAACTGAACATTATATTTAACCTTTTTTAAAGAAGAAAATTACATGTGTACTAAATCCACAAAAAAAAGTACCAAGCAAAAAGGGATGCCTGGAAATTTACATTCAGAGACTTAAAATACTGAATTTGCCGATAAATCCATAGGATGAATAAATTTACAGCACCATAAATCAAATGGTTAGAAACAATAGCAGATAATATAGAATAGTGCATACCAACGAGCAAAAGCGCTGCCATCTTTAGCACGTTTAAGACTAGCAGCAGTAGCAGATTCAACTTCCACCCTCTTTCTTACTCTAGTTGGACCATTTGACGACTTTGATGCTCCACCACCAGCCATTTACAGCTAATTTTTTAATGAACTTTTCAAAGAGAATTTCGGAAATGTGACAGAAGTGAGATTGTTGAGGAAATGAGTGTGGGGATTTGGAGGGTTTAAACAAGGATATGAAGGGAGGGAATGTGGTTTTCATTTTTCGAATTAGGCGCCACATTGAATTTTATAAAAACCCGCCAAAGGGATTTTGGTGGAATGTGAAATGGCTCGGATCGATGACGTGGGTTGTGTATCTACTGTTGGATTGGGGAATTTTCCTTTTGGACGGCTCACGATCGTTTACGTAATAAGTTCTCTTTTTTATTTTATTTTTCCAGTGTAAACATACACTAGTACACTAACCCGCACCCCTTAATCTAATTATACCAAATGCCATGTCCCATTCCATCTCTTTTTTTTTTTTAACCTCAATATATTCTTATAAAGGGAAAATGAAAAAAATTAAAGAAACAAAAACATAGAAATTCCGAAAATAATAACCGATAAAATATATATGGTTTATATATTAATATACAACACATTTTTTATGCATAATCTCACATCTCTATGACTCTTTAAGATACAATCAAACTTTTCTATATTAGTCATTCTTTGTAATAGCACTTCACTATAACAGACCAATTTTCTTTGGAACCAATTTTTCAAATTATATTATAATATATGTTTTATATGACAGCACTTCACTATGGCAGCCAAAAAATATTGAAACGAACAAAGCTGCTATAGAGAAGTTTGACCGTATATCTTGTGGTATTATTATCTAAGCATATTATTTATATCATACTAGAGGATAGGCTCAATCTTGATTATATTTGGCTAGTAGTGTAATTAGTTTTGGCCGACATGCCAATGTGTGCACAACATATCGGGAGAAATTCAAAAATAGCTAGATTTACAACTGGTCGTTCAAAAATAGCCAGTTTCAAAAGTAATTGAAATTAGTCACTTTTCATGTAAATATAAAATTGAGCGAAAACACTGTTCAAAACCCGAAAAATACGGCAGTATATTATGCTGGAGTTCCAGGATAAGTATGCTGGAACTCAAGCATAATATGATGGAGTTCCAGCATAAGTACACTAGAACTCCAGCATAATATACTGAAGTTCCAGCAAGTATACCGGTCCAGCATAATATGCTGGAGTTTATACACAGGTGCACTGAACTCCAATATATTATGCTGGATCGGTCTCTGTTGCAGTAAAATAGTGGTTATTTTTCATTGACTTGATAAACACTGGCTATTTTTGAATGACCAGTCCGAAAACTGGTTATACCGTGTTGTTTTTACTAAATGGACGCCCATATTTGGGCTTTCAAAGAAGGCCCATATTTGTATTCGAGCTTTCCGAACGGCCCATGCTTATTGGGCTTTCAAAGAAGGCCCACTAATTTCCGAAGACGGCCAATGTTTATTGGGCTTTTCAAAGAAGGCTTATATTTCACATCTCTTATCAAAGGAAAACCCTAGTAGCTGATAGCGTCAGAAGCAGAGTGGTCGCCATTAGAGTTCCATCGTATCCACTGCTCAGCAGCTGCTACAACTCGTCCGGCGAAAATGGTTAGCTAAAATTTTGAATTTCCTCAGCTAACGTAACTTTATACCTAGAAAAAATTGTATAATTTCTAAATCTATTTCTCTAAATTTACAGACATTCAAGAGAAGAAACGGAGGTCGTAACAAGCATGGACGTGGCCACACCAAATTCATTCGCTGCTCAAACTGCGGCAAGTGCTGCCCTAAGGTCTGTTCCTTCGTTATTATTGTTTATACAACAACAATAACTACTTGTACATCTCTATATCAAACTAGATGGGTTTGTTATATCAATCATATGTGCATAAATGATATACTTGTGAATAAAAGTACGTTTAAGGATATACACATATGCATATGATGGGCTTAGATTGTTGGAGCAAGCTTTATTTTGTTATGGTTTTGATGTTTATCTGACTATTGCTAGTATATTTTGTTTTTGAGTGCTTATTCGGTTTGTTGTAAATGTCTAGTGTTGTTGAATGGAGCTATAACTTTAAAAGAAACGAGAAATAGGTCCAGTGGTACCCGGTCCTAACTGCCCCTCTACACTTCTCCACAACAACAACAACAAACCCAGTGCAATCCCACACAATGGGGTCTACCCTTCTCCACATAAATACTAATGTCTTTGTTGGGTTTGAACCCGTGACTTGTGCGCCTAAACGACACATCACAAGTTGTGTTCTTACTGCTGGACTAAAGTCTTGTGGGCTATCTGGAGCTATAGCTTGTTATATAGGAATTGTAAGCCTGCTGTTTGAGTTTGTTCACCTGTTACTCTTTTGTCAGAGAGACTCTAGTTTTAAAGACCCCTTAATTTGTTTTATAAGACAAAGTTATCTATTACTGAATATAGCTGAATGCGTACAAGATTATATAGCTGATTCTGAGTCGTTTGGGATTGAGGCATACTTGATTGGTTGATTGAGATAAAATGCTTTGTGTATGGTTTTTGGATAATTGCTTAGAACTCAGGCAACTTGAGAAGTCATGGATCTTCACAATGTTTGATTTAGTGCAAATTTGCTGTCTAAGCTAATTAATGGAGTATCCATGCTTTAACAGATCAATATATTTTTGCCCGCGGGATAATAAGACAAGTTTTATGGCTCCTTTCTTCATCTCAGCTTTGCAGAATCAATTTGGTTTTAAATTAAGAGACCCGTTTTTCCTGAGTAGGGTAGATGTTGGAGAAATTTTTTTCATGTTAGAGGTGTTGTATAGCAGATGCAACTTCTTTGCAATTGAAGATTAATTGAATCTGATAGCTTGCTTTCTTTTTGATTTGTCTATCAGGACAAAGCAATCAAGAGGTTCCTTGTGAGGAACATCGTTGAGCAAGCAGCAGTGAGGGATGTTCAGGAAGCTTGTGCTTTTGAATGTGAGCTTCTTAGTGCATTGACAATGTATTTATATGCAATATTGCATAATGTAATAAGATGAATATTTTTGTATTTACAGTGTACACTCTTCCTAAGCTGTACTTGAAGATGCAATATTGTGTCTCATGCGCCATTCACTCCAAAGTTGTTAGGGTCCGCTCTGTTACTGATAGGAGGGTCCGCGAGCCTCCACAGCGCTTCAGGCGCCCAAGGGTACTGAATTTTACTTATACTATCTTTAATTCTTTTCTGTAGTATTTTCTCTATTGAGATCAAATTTTAGTTGTTAAAGTCTATTTCCTGCTTTGGAGAAGAAAGACGTCTTTTTAGATACGTTAATGTAGTAATAGGCTATTCTGTCAATTCTGCTGATGTTTGAATCTCATCTTTGTTGTTTCACCTAAATTCAACAAAACAATTTGTCTGCTAAAACATTAAGTACTTATTTCACCTACTTTAATGTGTGTAAGTTTTTTGAGTTATCAAGAAGTAGATTGTTCTATGTTTGTGAAGTATCATCTGCTTATGAAATGCTTGCAATTTGCTTAGAGAAAATAACAGGGGTCATATCTGTTTCACTTGCTTTTGCTGAATCAATGTAATTCTGCTTGCTTAGAGCTTTATTTCTTTGTGGCTATTTCAGGATGATGCTCCCAAGCCTGGTCAAGCTCCACGCCCTGCCGGAGCTCCTACTGCAGCTCGCACTTAAGTGCCTACATTTTGATCTACTGCTGTTAGGCTATTTGGGTTTTAGTTAATTTGAGATGAGTTTTTGAAGTGGATTTCTTTATTTAGTTTACTGGAACAATCATTAAATTTGTGCATGCAAATCTCAAGTAAACAGGCCTGTTGTTCGTCTTATTGCTTATATAGCCTTTGCAATTGAACTCTCTTTGCTTACACCCAACAAAAAAACTGTCGACTCCTTTTGAAATTTCTTCTCACTTTCACCTTACAGAAAGTGTTTTGGATCAAGTTTTAAGTTTGGCTTTGAGATAGCAACGTTTTCCGTGTCTGATATTGAAAAATCATTCAAAAGTTTTTCAATTTGACTTAAAGCTATCATAAAAGTCACTTCGTATGGAATCATTTTATGGTTTTATGGCCAATTTTTGAAACTTAAAGGTAAAAACAAAGTAGCAAAGGGTAAATACTCGAGTATACTAGCGTTTCTATTGAAAAAGAAACTCTACAGTAGGGGCGTCAATGGTTCGGTTCGACCGGTTATTTTATAAAATTTGTACCATATCAATTTTTCGATTATTCTATTATGTATAACCAAAATTAGACTTTTCAAAACTGTCCCAATCATGTCGGTTTCTCTTCGGTATCGGTACGGTTTGGTTAATTTTCTGTATTTTTTTTATATCATGTAAAATTCACCAGTAGAAGTAGAATGCAATAACATACGTTCTTTTATAAGACTTAACAAAAGATGGCAAGAGTATAGATCCATCAACTATTCTACAACAGCGTAAAAGAAATCAAACAAAGGCAAAGAAAATATAAATCACACGAGTTGAAAGATATACCAAGCTGGGACTCAAGAATAGAGTTTATAGAAGATTAAATATTCAAAAAGATAAATCCAAATTATATGAAAAGAAACATATTTAGTACATTGTAGTTTGCTACTCATAATCGCTAGAATACTTTGTGTCTTGCTAATAAAGATACTTGAAATAACTTAGTTTAAGTAAAAATAGCATAATAGGTTTTAGGAATTAGTATTTTGAGTTTAATTACTTGTTGGGTTGTAATAGTTTTCATAATTTCAAGGCCCAAAGAAAATTTAATGCATTATTACTTTTAAACTTACTAAATAAATATATTTTCTACATGTAAAATTTATTCGGTACGGTTCGGTATTTTTTCGATTTATTTTTATAAAAATAAAAAACCTACCCTAATTATCGGTGCGGTTATAGATTTATATAAAAACATACGGTTTCTTAAAAAGAAACCTAAAACTTAATTCGGTGTGGTACGATTCGGTCGGTTTTCAAATATCCATTGACACCCCTGCTCTACAGCATATGCTTGTTCTGTCCAGCCAGTTTTATATTTGTTTGAGCTGTACATATTCTCTTTTGGTAATAAATACAAATTGTTTATTACAAAATTTATTGAAGGCAAAAGAAATATTAGAGCATGGGTAAATAAGCGACTCTGCCTAACCTAAACACCTGGTTTCCCTACAGGCTGTAGCTATCAATCAATTATGAAAACAGCATCTTGATTTTATTCTTAATCCCATAAACTAAATGCTACATAGATAACGAACAAATAGTTAAATCTTTATGAATTAAAACTACAGTTTAATGGTTACAATTCATCCCTACATCAATTAAATATTTAGATTAATAGTAAGCCTCCTGCCCTTTTTATGGGCCAATCCCACCTTAAAACAAATTAAAAAGAAAAGAAAGTAAAAATTGCACGGGTCGACCAAACCTATACTCATTTTTTAAAAAAGTTTTAACTTGTACCCACTTTTTAAATAACTTCTTGTGCGTAATTGTGTGCGCAAGATAGTAGTACCACAAAGCTAACTATTGGCATAATGTGTTTAATATTAACATAAAGTACATCATACATATAGATGTATATGCGGAACAAAGTTGTACAGGTACATTCTTAAGCTTGCTAGAAAGTCCAAAACAGTCAAATTGTTCATGTTCATGTTGGCGAGATTGGATAAAATCTTGAGTTTAGGAGTTGCAACTGGTAACCCATGCTTCATCTTGCTATTCACTGAAAGACATGGAAAAGCATGCATTAGAAATAAAACATAGTATACGAAGGTAAATCCATGATGATCTACAATAAAAGCAGTGGCAAAGACAAAATATTAACAACAGGAAATATTGGTGAGGCGTAAAAGGGATTCTTGAGAAAATTGTGGCAATGCTGGAAACAGAATCCCATGGTAGCAAAAATTTCAACATAATGTAAGATCAGTGGGAACATGAGTCAAAAATGGACCTTACTGCTCATATAAAGTAATTCTTCACCATGGTCATTCTTCCATGAAAGAACCTGTTTTCCATGCAGGCTAACCTGGAGATAACAATATACGTAAGTGGCACATAAGCAAATGGGGAAATGTCATCCGATTCTAAAGTTATATCCAAAATTTAGTATCCAAAAGAAGACCAATATTTTATTGTCTCCATTGCAGAGTTTAAACAAAATATCTGAAGAAGATTATTCAACAATGAATATGAAAGTAATGCACCATTTCTATATGTAATAAGAAAGCTATCAATTGTAAGTTAGAAATCCTTATAACCCCTTTTAAAAGGGTAAGGAGAGAACAATTACACATTATATACAACACCAGGAGGAAAATAAGATGTCACCTATGTTTTCTAAGTGAACAAAGATAATTCTCAAGTGTTGTGCATATGCCCGTCAATCGAGACCTTTTGTGAGGTTCTTAAACATAATATATGAGACGACAAAGATTGTAGGATTCTTAAGAGATATAGGTCTCTTTCTTGAACACACAGGCTATGGAGAAAATGAACTAATCTCAAATGACATGCCAAAGCAATCAGTTTCTATCTATTTTTCCCACCAAAACTCATTTGTGCTTTACCCGAGCTTATTAATAGGAAGAATGTTTACAAACAATAAAATCCATACAAACTCCAACTACCAACATGAAAATTAAAATTTTATGTAGTGCCTCCTTCTTGAGAAACACTTTCGTGGCGCCCAACTTGAGTCAACCACTTCCCAACAAGTATTAAAAAATTAAAGATATTTAGGAGACTTGGAAGGAAGAGCTAATTCCCTGAATAACTATAGATTACTCGTCACTGCTCACCTACCATCAGACGGACCAATTATCTTTTGCTATGGCAATCTTCTTTATTTTGTTTTTAATTATTTTGGTTCCTAGAGATTTTTACTAAAAGTTAGAATTCGATTGTTTTACATTCTCATCATCTTTTAGCCAAAGAGGGACATCATGTAGAGTAGGAATTTCCTCCGCAAAAAATGAGAAACTTTGAGAATGTACTATTTTACTTCATAAACAAAAATAATACTCAGAAAGAGGCAAGAAAGATGAAATGAAAATCTACCAATAGATAAACTTAGAAACAAAAAGATAAAAACTAAACCAGTAACAAACATATGAGGAGGAAAACATTGGATTTATGAGTTACTTCTTCCTTCATCTACCATTCTTCCAACTTGTAAAAAACAGAAATGCCTATTACAAATAAGAATGGTAAATCACCTTACCTTTACCTATTTATTTGTCTAGTTTCATTCTTTGTGTGTATTCGTTGAATCAAAGATTTTATTTTCTTGCATGTAGATAATGGCAACAAATAGACAATGAAAGACCAACACCTGAGACGATGAAGAATGGATCTTATCTATCTTATTCTCTATCATAAAAGTATTGTTCTCAGGTTAATGCAGATTTATGCCATGTATGAGCCAAACAATAGTCAACAATTTTTTCTCATCTACTACTTCAAGTCATATCTCTTAAAATCTTTACCCATGATTAATCAGCTCACATATTCTTGAGAGTCTATGCAAAAGAATGTTGTCAAATAAATCATATAGGATTTATCACACTCCATACTGCCTAGAAGAGTAATCAATGATTACATTTAGATAAACTCGCAATCAGTTCAAAACCAATAATTTCTGAAGTCCACATTACCACCAAAATGTGAAACAAGCAAAAAAGTATTATTCCTTCCTTTTATTTCCTCCGTAGTCACCGCATGATGTCACACTTCTTACAATTTATCTTTTTCTCGGAGAGCACCAGCAGGGTTAAATCACAAGCAAGAGATTAAATTACCTTATCAGCTTTTCTATCCGGTTTCCCAACGTTTTCACTGTAAGTGCTTCCAACTTTCTGCGTTCCGTCACAACTTTCAGATCTTCAAGGCAAAAGAGCAAATAGGACACAGACTGGTCATCATCTAAAGGTGTATTTGCCACACATCGACCAATATCTACCAGTTCATTTATCTGTGACATAAAAAATTATAACATCAAAATGTCAAAATTCAGAACTCCTGAAAATATGGAAGCAGGTTAGTTAAAGAAGTCGATACCAAATATACTACACTAACACGAGCAACTAGGGGTGTAAAAACCGAACTGGAAAACCGCACCAAACCGAAAAACCAAACCAAATCGATTAAAAAACCCGACTAGGTTTGGTATTGAGTAAAATAACTGTCACGACCCAATCCCCGAATCTGGTCGTGATGGCGCCTCTCGTGAAGACAAGGTCAGCCAGACCAAAACGGAACACCTCTTTTAAACAGTTAATCATCATAAACGGTAATAACATATAATATAATACTCATAAATTGCAGAATTTAACAATTATAACCGCAAGAACCATCCCGACACATGCCCAAACCGGGGTGTCACAAGTCACGAGCATCTACTAGGGTATAAATACAGCTGAAAGCCTGGAGTGTACAAATACAGACTAATTAAATAAGGAGAGAGAAAAGCATTGTTGCGAACGTCGGCAGCTACCTTGCTAAACTCTGATGACTCTGCCTCCGATCAGCCAAAACATACCTGAAACTGCACACAAGGTGCAGGGAGTAATGTGAGTACTCCGACTCAGTGAGTAATAATTATAAATAATGGCTGAAAGTATGAAAACACGTAAAGGCACAAAGCAATTCCATATATCAAGTAGTAAAATCACTTAAAGCAGTAAATCAATGAAGAAATCAAATGATATTCCTTTTAAAACAAGTAAAACCGGTAGTTTAACAGGTAAATAACAAGTAGAAATCCGCCCCTCGGGCACAGTATCAAT